ATCTAAAGTCATCAAACATTTGTATTTTATAAAGTGTATAAACTTCTTTACTAAGAGGTAAATACAAATTTTAATCCATGAATATGCTCAGAAAGGGTCTATTATATCATATTCACGGATTAAAATTTGTATTTACTTCTTAGTAAAAAAGTTTATACATTCTATAAAATATAAACGTTTGATAACTTTAGATGTTATGCACTATAAAATATAATTAACTTATCAAACTCACAATAAAACAAATCTGATAATATAATTTATAACAAAAAGTAACTTATAATAAAAATTAACCAAATTATTAATCTAATATATGATAATTCAAATGAGATATAAAAAGCAAAATATATATTATTATAGTCTGAAATTATTCCTAATTTCTTAATTTCTTAATTCTAATTATATGATTAAATATAGATTATAGAGATAGCAGAAATAACAAAATTTTCAAATATGTTAACATTATTTACTATATTATATTTATTTAATATATATAATATATCTTATATTGTAATAACTTAATTACAAAAATATTTTATATAAATAAAGAATCTTTTGAATGAACCAAAAAACATTAATTAATTAATACAAAATTTAGCTAGTCAATAAATTGCTTCTTATTTATTGTTTAATAAAATTATATATTAATTAATTTTATAATTAATATTATTATAATACTTATCTTTATTATGCACTACTGGACATTCAATCAGATTGTTATAGAATATTAGTATCATATTGCTAAAAAAAACTGTTTACATATTAAGTAAATACAAAAGAAAATATTTATTAGTAATAGTAATATCTTATTCTATCTTAATAAAATAAAAGGAGTCATACTACATATTGATTCTAATATAACTAAATTGAAATTAGTAAATATATAAAAACTATAACAGATATTAATTAAATATTGTTATAATTAGGCTCTCAGTGAATATTATCGCAATATAAATATTCAATTAATATCTAATGATGATATTTTTATAATTATTTAATCTCATTATATTTAATATATTTTAGGATCATTACACAGTGTATTTTTTTTATCAATTAAATAGGCTTTTACTATTAATAATAGATATTATGTCTACTTAATATAAAATAATCCTATAGCAATATACTACTAATATTCTATAGCAACTTGGTGATTGTTTAATAGTGCACAATAAATATAAATATTTAATATAAGATTATTATTATTTATTATTTAAAATCAATTAATATACAAATTTCATTAACAATAAACAATAAATAATAATGCACAATAAATGTAAGTATTTAATATATTATTTATATTTAAAATCAATCAATATACAAATTTTATTAACAATAAATAATAAATAGTTTATTGACTAACTAACTAGATTTTGTAGTAATTAATTGATGTCTTTTGATTTATCCAAAAAATTCTTTATTTATATAAAATATTTTATGATAAGAATATTACAATATATGTTATATATATTAAATAAATATGCTATAGTGAATAATATTAATATGTCTGAGAACTCTTGTTATCTTTACAATCTATATTTAATCACATAATCAAAATTAAGAAATTAAGAAATTAGGAATAATTCTGAACTGTAACAACATTCATATTACGAGAATATTTATTTGAGTTTAGAACTTATAATAACGTCACTTGAGTGAGGTATAAAAAGCAAAATACATGTTATACTAACACATATCTCATTGATTCTCAAGTAATAATATAAATATAATTTATATAACACCTGATGGATAAATTCTAAAAATCTCAGATATAACTTGAGTTTTGCGATTTATTCATTATTTGAATAACTTGAGTTTGCAATTAATATATCATATCTGAGTATATTATAGTATAATCTAAGTAGTTTATAATCTTTAAAAAATTATAAATTACTTAAAATAATATAAATCACAACCAAATTTTATTTGATATTATTAAAGAACATATGAATTAATAACTTAATAACTTTATAACTTTATAATAATTCTAAGCTAAGATACATGCTGCTTATATTTATTTCAATTTCAAAAAAGATCAATTAAAATCTAACATATTCTTATATATCATGAATAACATAATGTTGCTCTAATTTGTCAAATATTATATATTTAAATTTAGTATCAACACATACTAAAATACTATTGATATTTCTTTGCTATTACATAATAAAACTAATTAAATATGAAATAAACTTAATATAACACAAGATAATAGCAATATAACACAAAGAAAAATTAAATATATGAGAAAAATCAATTAAAATATAAAAATAGAACACATGCTAAATCTTAATAAAATGATTTATATTAAGCATGTATTACAATATAAATCTAATTTATAATAAAAAATCAATTAAAATATTTTAAATAAAAATCAATTAAATTTATAATAATTATTATTCTTTGTCAAATACTATTATTATGTGAAAGAAATATCATTATTATAGATAAATGTTGAATTCCTCATGATGCTATGCTCACCAACAAATAGCTAAATAATATATAACATGTTACAATGGTGACAATATCCAGTTATTTCTAGTCAAGGCAAATCGAATAGTGGTATTTTTGTTCAAATCAGATCACTGGATGTCTGGAATGTGTGTTATGAAATGACTAATTATATTTGGAATGTGAACATACAATATCCGATATAGAATCATTATAAAAAGGTATCAGCGTTTGTGATGTAATACATGTATATGCATATAAAATTTCGGTGTGGGGATACTTTTGTCGGGCACTGTAATTAAAACTCCTGCATTTGATTATTTGATTAACAATGCATATGTAACAAAAATAGTAAGATTTGCATTACCTGACGAAAATTTAAAATTTGTAGCTACCCTTAGGTTTTCACCTCTACTATCGAATTCAAACATCACATTTTTTAAAGATGGATTTCGAAGCAAATAATAAATCAGTTTTAACAAATGGCAAATCACACTCGAACCATGTAAATTCTGATATGTCTATAATACACCTAGATTCTCCTTCACTTGTGCGTACAGAGTCTCTAATCGACACCGTTGACATGGACGGCTTGAGTTGGCCAAGTAAATATTTCGATTTTTAGCAATTCTCAACTAATTTATTATTCAGACTTTGACATACAATTGAGCTTATTAAAAGAGTATTGGTGATTTTTCTCAGGCATCGGTACGAAACAACGCCTAAACGAAACTTTCGAACAGAAACAAGAAAGAATACGAAAGTTATCTTCGGCAGTTCAAACTATATTTGAATGCATAGGTGAAGATCCGACCCGTGAGGGTCTTTTACGGACTCCAGAAAGATATGCGAAGGCCATGATGTTTTTCTCTAAAGGATACGAAGAGAGCATACAAGGTATATATAGAGTTTCTGACATTCATTTTGGGTCATTCTTCTACTTGCTATTTCTCTTATTTCTCTGGTTAAACAATCTATATACGCGCTTTTAATTCAGACATAATCAATGGCGCTATCTTTGAAGAAGGTTTGCTATATTAAAGATACCTCTGATTTTCTGTCATTTAATATTATTCCTAATGAAATGTGTTGTTTAGATTACGATGAAATGGTAATAGTAAAGAATATTGATGTATTTTCTTTATGTGAGCATCATATGGTCCCATTCACCGGAAAGGTAAATCTCAAGTGTCTCTTAATTAGTGTACCAATCCAATGGTCATTCGATACCAATACTTCTTTCTTTTAGATCAGTATAGGCTATATTCCTAATCGGCGTGTACTTGGACTATCAAAGCTTGCACGAATCGCCGAAATGTTTTCGCGACGACTTCAAGTACAAGAACGACTAACAAAACAAATTGCTGTAGCACTCCAAGAGATCTTGAAGCCACGAGGGGTTGCTGTAGTAATGGAAGCGAGGTAAAATAATCATGAAACAAACGAACATTGACCAAACATATGCAGAATTATATTAATTCCGTGTTTTTTATCATCTTGCTATCCTTCATATAGTCATCTCTGTATGGTGATGCGTGGTGTAGAGAAGCCTGGGAGTTCTACAATAACCAGCACCATGTTAGGCGTATTTCGAGAGAAAGCAAAAACGCGTGAAGAATTTTTAACGTTAATCAGAAATTGAACGGAGGGCCAACAAATAGATTTATTTAAATATATAGAATCATCTTTGGATCAAGCAAGAGCGCGTGTAATATTAATCTGAAAGTAATTAATAGAGAATAATAACATGATAGCATTTTTCCATCGAGGCGAAATTTCTTCCATGATTTCTAACATGATCTCGTGATAAGATACTTAGGGAAATGTCAATTTCGACTCCGTATATTTTTAACGTGTGTGACATGACATTCATTAATTTCCTTTTCGATTCATTACACAGATCCGCTGTAAATCATAATCACCTTTAATTCTCACTGCGCATTAACGTTAATGGGTATTTTCGTTATACTTGAATACAATAACATTCGATTGCTATTATTATATTAAACGCCACAAAATAAGAAACAGGAGAATTGTTTCTTTTTTCCGCACTTGTCCAAATCAAGTCGGGCTCTTCAAGTAATGCATGGTTGCATTACCAAAAGTATCCGTCGCAGATTTTTTCATTCGCTCTAAATTCTACATACTAATTTCGCCTAAAAGCAAAGTAGAATACAATTTTTCTATCTACCGCTACTGAAAGTGTGCCAGCGCATGTATAGAGTTCAAAGGCTTATCCCCAATTACGTATTCTGCATTCAAGTTCGTCATATTGTGTAATTTCAATCAACAATTGATTGTATACCAAATATGTAACCCAATTATTCCGATCAATTTAATGGTAAAACTTGCTATTTTTAGTATAGTTTATTAATTGATCATCATAAATATAATTGATGAATACAACTCGAATTGAATAATTGAAATCCGATCAATTAAAATAAAATAATGACGCCAAAAACATAAAAATTCTTTCCGTGGATATTTTCTTACCGCCAAATCTGTAAATTTTGTCAAGAGTTTAATTAAGAATTATTTCTCGCTGTGAATAATATCTGAAAAAATAAATATTTAACCTTAATAGTACGATCAGCACATCCCGTTATTAAATTACAATTTCCAAGCGTCATTGCGTGCACAAATCCTACAAAAAAGCGTGTCATTTAACTTCAATTATGTTTTCTTACCGGATTGATAATCACATTGTATATAAAGAATTGCGTATTTTACTGCACCTTGATGTCCTTTTAAAGTTAAATCACATGCCATCATTTGATTCCTCATATTCCAGCGTTTGATTGTATGATCAAAACTTGCACTAAACAGAGATCCATTCGTATATTCCAATTGCCATACCTCCCAATTATGACCAGATAAAGTAGCAACGGGAGTGTAATCATTAAGATTGTAAGCATGTATGACCGCATCATAGGTGGAAGCAAATAGCATATTGTCACCAGCCGTTACGTCTAATACTTCTGATGAATGTGATGAAATGGTATGCAAACATTTGCCTGATGCTACATCCCATATCTAAACAATAGATTCGTATGAATGCAAATCAAGTTACGTAGGCGCAGAAGCAATTGCAATGTTTTACCTTAACGCTACTATCACTGCCAGCAGTCGCCAATTTTCCATTTTCCATTGCGATCAAATTGTTGACACCATCTGTGTGTCCAGTGAATGTGGCTAGATTCTCTAATGTAACCGGATCCCATACTTTTATAGTCTTGTCGGACGAAGCAGAATAAAGCCTATTATTGTTAACAACTAATCCATATATTTTCCCAGAATGTTTAGTTAAAGTCCTAATACAACTGGATGTGTCCGCTTTCCAATCCCAAACCTACAGAATATCAAAGATAACGTAAAAAATACGATTTTTTAAGAAAATATCAAATATTTGTTAAATTTCTTACTTTAATTGTACCATCAGAGCCTGCACTAAAAAATCGTTCGCTTTCAACATGAACTGCCAAAGCCCAAACTGACATCTCATGGTCATGTAAATTTTTTATCAATTCTCCGGTCTGTTCCCGGAAGATCTTTAGAAAGGCGAGCTTAATTAGAATCAATGATATAAAGATAAGTCAAATTTCTAAAATCTCGGATGTACCTTTGTAGAGCCATCGTAAGCCCCTGCAAAAATCAAACCATCATTATATGCAAGCGAAGTTACACCACAGGTATGTTGTGATATTGTACGGCAGCATACAATATCTCCACGAGGAAAAGTCTATTTAAAAAACATTTAATAAATATTAACATTTAATTTATGAATGCATTAGTTAACGCAATACTTAGCATACAAATTCAGATTCTTCCTCTTCAGGCGAAAAATTATGATCTCCGTTACCATTAACCAGATCATTCGTCGACTAAAATAATTGTATTAATAGAATCATATAACGAAATTTTCAATTTTCTTAGAAAGAGTTGAAAATACCGTATGCTTTATCCGTGATGGTTTAACAATTTTTTGTAGTTTTACTAATTCGCTTTGTTGCTCCTAAAAATATCCATGCTAAGGAATTTAGCTCCTAATCAATCTGATTAATAAGAATTTCTATTCATTACATGAAGTTAATACCTCGATTTTCTTTTCCAACTTTGCAATTCTATCATTATTACTTTCAATATATTCTTTAAATTTTTCATATACACATTGTTCAAGGTGTTCTTGGGTGGTTTTCGTAGTTCCTATTCGTAGCAAACATCAGATCAGAGCAAAATATTAATACTGAATAAATTGAGAATCTCATGGATTAAAAATTTTACCCTTGAAATCACATCCATATTTTGAATTTTTGCAGAACGCCGGGGAATAAGTGCAATACATCAAATGATGCTGATGAGAATCGAGACGCACAGATGTAGGACAACCATATTTTTTGTTGCTACAATGAACCGGAAGTTCTTGGATCAAACTGCCTAAAGCTAAATTAGGATGAAGATCTATGCCATTTCACAAATAGGGTGTCTAGATGGTTAAAAAAAATCTGCTTAATTTCACGGGATCAAGAATGAATTACTAACTAACCGTCTACTTTTATTCGAGTTCGACATAATGGACAATATGGTTCAATTTCCAAGCTTTGAAAGATACACGCCCCACAAAAGGAATGATTACACACAGTAGTGATAAGTGGCTCGCGGCATACATCATGACACCTTTTTAGAATTAGTAGATTAATTAAAGTTTATTTAGTCAAAACAAAAGGTAGAGTTATAGACCAAAATACCATACACAGGACACATAAGTGAAGGGGAAGGGGTGTCCACAAATTCAATATTATCGTCTTGTGGATGAACATTCATATTCAGAATCACTCTTTATAATTTAATACCAACTCAAAATTGTAACTTTATATCTAAATTTTATATTATAATACTCGACATAAAATATTCCACTTGATACTCTATCTAATAGACATTTCGAGTACCAAAGCTCTTCCTTTCATTGTGTACAAAGAATAATATTCATCTTCAATAATTAATTCAGGCTGGAATTATAACCTATACATCAAGTTAAACTTCCAAGTTAGGTTAGTCTGTCTCCTGCAGGAATTAGTAATACAAGTGGCACAAAATCGCTCTATAATAAATTTACCGTTACTCGATATAAGAAAGTTACTAATAAACTTGATATAAGAGTTTTGTAAATTTTTCACTATGGACCCGAACACCTTTCTTATATCGAGAGCCAGTTGTACTTGTTTAAAAAAAACGCACGACTCCAATTAAAGATCTTTTTAAAATAATTAGAATAATATAATTATTTTCAATTGTTTACATAGTTAAAATAAATAGTTAAATCATTGATGGTATATTAACATCCATTAATTCATAATTTTTATCATCATCGTCGACATATTTCTCAAATGGTATGCGCAATCGAATTTCTTTCTCTAGCATTAAATTCATCACCTCTTCTAGTTCTTCTGTGGAGAAATGGGAACGAAGACGTCGAAAGGCAAGTAGATATATATCTAAAAAAAAAAAAAAAGGAGAATGTAATCCAAAAAATGTCAAATTTCACGTTACATATATAATAAGCACAAAAAGATAAAATAATAACCTTTTGACCAAGGACATTCTCTGATTGCTCGAAAGTATAATGCCTTTGCCCGATCTTGTTGATTGTGTTTAATCTCGAAATCGATATATAAATTCCATATTGAAACTGAATGCCTTGTCCTATTAAAAACAACCAGAAAAAGTGGTTAGCGAATTGTGTCGAAAAACCCTTCAAATTTTGAATTATAAAACTATATTTACGTTGGGCACTCTAGCGCTCTTTCAAACAGAGCTCTTATGTGATGTTGATTATATGCCTTTTGTAGATGCAACTCTGCAAATATAGCAAATGTCCACAACACGTGGCTTGGTTTCCTGTGAAGAAAAATCATTAATTGCTTTTCAACGAAGTTAAATTTTATTCTGGCAAAAAATTCTTACTTTACAAGTGCAGCGTCCAAAAATCGTCGTACACGATTTTGGATTTTTGTTCGCAATTCATTAAAGAAATAAAGTGATAGAAACTCGGAGTTATCGGGGAAAATTGTTAGCGCCTTTTCAAGGATCTCACGCAATAGAGCAGGACGATATGCAGTCCCCAATTTGGAATGTTGATAGATCAGTTTTGCATAAGTGTTTTTTTTTTTACGAATAATAATTAAGGAATAACATTGATAATAATTGATTAAATTCGTTCGAATTCAAAAAAAAATGTCACGAAAGAAAAGGATATGCCACATATGTCAATTCACATTCTATTGTCTGGCCCGCATCACGAGCAACCAATTCAGCGAGCATCGTTTCATATATTTTGCAAGCTTCACCGAGATTCTGACCAAGATATTCAAGTAAGGAAAAACATACACAGAGATGTATGACGTTTCTGGCGTCGGCTTGAGATGCAGCCAAGGTAGACATTTGAGAAATTTTTTGGGCGTAATACTAAAATAAGAAAATTGTGATTGAATGTATGATTATTTTAGAGCAATGAAATTTGTAAATAGCATACTTTACGCGCTTTGAGCAATCTAGTCGGTGATGGTGGCGGCATATCTTGTTCGGGTATGGAATCTACAAGAAAAAATAAGATTGTTACTCGTGAAACATTCAGACAAATTGCAATTAATGAAAAAAATACTAACCAAAAGAACTTTTCTCTTCTGTCAGCATTATTAAGATATCTATATTAAATTTAAAAGATATATATCGTCAGAATTTGTAAATTTTCAATCATCTTTTAGTTAAATTGCAAGTGGGGCACTCACTTAACGCTGTATTTGGACGACCTTGTTCCCATTCCATCTCGGCAAACATTCTATGTAGCAATGACGCATAAAGCTGATATTGTTCCGGAAACGAACGATACATTGAAAGCGCAGTAATATACACTCTACGAGCCTATAATGTGTGCATATATATACATATATATTATACGGCAATGTCGTATCATTACATCAGAAAATATAGAAAGCATTTTTGATAACAAAATAAATTACCTCGGAAATGTTATTCCGTGATTTTTCAAGTTGAGCGTATCCATTCCATAAAATAAGGTTCATTCTATCTGTTTTTAGCAATTCTTTAGCCAATTTACGTCCCCTAGTCGAAATTTTTATTAATTAATTAATATTTGTTCAACTAAAGGCAAAAGAGTAAATAAGTATTACCCACTTTTTATTGCTTATTAGATTTTCTAGTACCAAATAACATAAATCAAGACCTGTGTCATTAAGGACCTTCCGAAGCTGAATAAATGCATTCCTAACAAAAATAATTTAGGTAAATAAACTTATCAAAAATGTCGACACAATTAGCCAACCTACTTTGCAAAAGTAATGTTAAAATCTGTCAGCATTGACTCCTCACAGATACTAAACCAATTATCAGATTTGAATATATTATCATTTTCCTGAGGAAAGGTTTTCAACGGAAATTTGAACACGTTATTATCTCCCGAACGTGTCTCCGATTCCATCAAAACCCCATGAATATTATTAATTAACGTCAATGCAGAATTTTCCGAAGGAGGCCAAAAATTTGAATTTGCTAATGAATCATTTGTCAATATTGGATGTAAAAATGCATCAGTGACAAGTGGATGCCTCGAAGATCGACAAGGGTTGAATGGTAGACCGAGAAAATTAAAGCAAGCGTATATCAGATTGTTACGTGCTTTAGGTGAAGTCAGATTGAAAATAAAATTTTGGATATCATCAAATAACACGATTCGGAAGGGATCTTCAACTTCAAGGTTCTCATTTTTGGAGTCTTTTGCAATTTATATTGAATATTATTAGTTAGTATGGTTGAGATAAAAACCGCTTGTTTATTTTAGTATTGATTTACCTGAATGCAGCGGTAATGTCTGAGTTTTCTCTAATTCTGTTTCAGCCATTAGCCAGTTGTGATAGCCGTCCTCTGTTGAAAAATTGAGCGTTAATGAGTTATTCTCAAATAACACACAAAAAAGAGTAAAATTATTAATTTACCAGCTTCATCTGGTGAAATAATCCCTTCATGAAAACTCGTATTATCCTCGTCATTATCATTATTCATACCCTCCTGACTAGTATAATACATCCAACCTTTGGCACCCTTTTAATAGACACAGAAAAAAATTTAAGCTTTAATACCGAAAAAAATGCGTAAATTAAGAGGACATGCAATAATTACCTTCTCCCCAAATCGTGGAAATTCAGTTTCCCAAAACTCCCCAAATCTCGAAAGACGTTCTTCATAACTTTGTCCTTTTAACATTTCTGGCAAAAAAAAGTTCATCTCCATTATACCCTGTAAGCAAGCATATGCTCTTTCAGAGTAACCTAAAGACAGTAGAATGATATAAAGGAATCAGATAAAAGATTGGATTACAATTCAAATGCCAATGAGATTCTTTTACCTGATTGTATTAAGAAATGACATAATCGTATAAACACGTGAACCATTGTCTCCTCGGTTTGTTCAAGGTCTGCAAAAAATACAAAAAAACATCAACAAATACGATTCAAAATATATGTAATCAACTACATATATCAAAATACCATCCAAGTTCTCAGAAGATGCGGCTTCTCTAAGCACATCCAAACATTCCTCAAATACTTCAACACACTGTGCAAAAGCGAATGAGGCGAGATTTGTTTGTCGAAAATTGAGATATTGCATCCAAAGTTTTATGGCGCGAGGATTATCCTTCAATACTTGATCCCATTTCGTTAACAATCTTGGTGGACTTTTATAAAAGAGTAGGACGATCAATATTTTTTATGCAATACTATTATGAGATAATAAGCAGATACTTACTCCCATGTTTCCTCGCAACACTTCAATAATCCTAACAGTAATTCCTGGCTATTTGGGTTTTTTTCCAGAGCCTTTTCGAATATACTGATTTTGATCTCATTAATGCTAGCTCTTGTTGAGGAACCCGATACTTTTTTCCCGATCTGCATACTTTCATTTTGAAACTCAATAAATTTCAGCCAAAGGGATATATTATGTGGTTCCTGAATCGAATTATTAATAATTAAAATAATAAAAAATGATAAAAAATACTATGCAAAAGATTTACCAACCTTTTCAAGATGGAGACTGAGATTCTTAGTTTTCTGTCTGATGTGCTCTTCGTAGGTTAAACCTTCCTTTTTATCTACTTGCACATTTTCTTTTGACTTAATATCACGTTCCTTTTTACGCTCAATGTCACGATAATCCGGTACATCGTAATATTCATCTTCATCTTTCGAGACATTGCCATCGTCAAGAGATATATATGTTTGATTCCAATTAAAAGATGACCGATTCGCTTCAAAATCAAATCTAAAACATTTTTTTTAATAATAAACATTGGTTTGTGAAATAAAAACTATAATATTCTAACCTTATAATATCCTTATCATCGCGTATACCGTAACGCTTATCTGTGTATCGGACAGTCTAGCATTCATAAGGATTGCCCGCTCAAAATTTATCCCAAATAACAAATACTTCTATTAATGAAAGAAAACATCTGCTTACTTTTTTATTCGATGATGAGCGAATTACTATCCCTTCATTACCTTTGCTGGATTCTTGATCAATTCTCAATTGATTAGATAAGCCAAGAACACGACCAGCTATAACATAGAGATTATTAAATTTAATCAAAAGTGAGACCATAAGATGTGCAGAGTGAGATATGATTAAGAAATTCACCTCCAGCACGGTGATATAATGGAATATTGTATTTATTAAGTCCGTATGTAAAAATGTCGGGATCGCCTCGACGATCAATGATATAACGCTTTGAATCATAAGATATCATCCTAATGTTGAAGAACGTGAAATTGGTTTTAATAGGCCAAAGTTATATAGCTATGATTCAATGGATACAAGCAGCATACCGTGGACTTGGACTATGCTCTTTACGCTGTCAAGCAAATCATAACAAATTGTTTAACATTTAATATATTGGTTAAAAATATTCATAACAGGTAATCGTATACACCATACTTCATCTCTTCTCTCGCTCCTTTTTTTCCGATCTCTCGGTGTACTTCTTGAGCGATCTCGAGTTGAACGTGATTTGTAAAGACGAGAGCTATGACGATGTTTCTTTTTTGAGCGTTTACTTCGCGAATACTCATCATCTGAATCAGACTCATATGATGCTGAAGGTGAATGTGAATCATGACGTTTCCTACGAGATCTCTTTAATCCCAAAGACTCGTCCCTCGACTCTCGAATTTTTCCATCTTCTACCGCAGAAGATTCAGTGAATTTAAATATTAAATATTAAATATTAATTACAATTATTAAAAAAAGATTAAATTTGCAATACTTGATTCGAGCTCCGATATCTCTGGAAATGATGAGAAAGAAGGAACTTCCACATCAGTGGATCGAAATGAAGTTAATGATGTAATGCTTGGATTTCCCGAATTATGTTCAGAAATTGATGTGCTCACAGATGACACTAAATCAGACTTGGCATTCGATGATCCAGCGGAGATTTTCTGCCAGAAGCAAAAAAAAGTAATATTTAGGTAAATTATAATAAAAATAAAGTTTGGTTATCTAAAAGATCATTGGTCTTATATTAAACTGAAATGAGTATAATATGTAGCCTCTTCTAACAAAGAAATGAATTCCATAAATACCTGTTCTAATTTAGAAGAGAACAAGTTGAAAGATTTCTCGGCCATGACTAACCTAAAAAAATTCGGTACAATGGAAACTATCGGCATTGGTATTGGTGATCGGTGATCACATAAATTAATATCACACACACATTTACCTTATCATTATCTTTTAACAACTTATTATACTTCCGCCCATCCATCTCACAAGAAAACTATTTCTTTTTAATCAAATTTAACTTAACTCTCAATATTTTAATGAGCATAAATAACGGCTCTAACTCCAAGAGTTTACCCGCTTTACATGGTGTTAAAATCAAAACTAGAAAAGTTGGTTGTTGTTTCCTTGTTTATTCGAGACTATATAAATAAAAGCTTGAGCAAGTTACCTAAAATGCTTTTTTACTGGTTTTATTAGGGCCTGCAAAAAGCCCAGGCGAAATTTGAGCCAGCAAGTGAGTATTATAAGATTCCTCATCTTTTTACCTCTTGATCTGTTTGTTTACCTCGACATTTTTCAATGGATATACTTTAGTATTCCGTGAAAGTATTTTAAAAGTACTCCAAACCGCCGAACCTGGTGACTTTGATGAAATCTCGCAAAATTTAGATAGCGCGGGCAATACTCTTGAATATCGTAAATACGGCGAAACTTTATTTGAAATTCTCTTTACTGGTGGTTTATTGGGTGAGTTATTATTTCAATTGATACATTTTATTAAAGTGTATCATCTCAAGATGTTTACATTGATGCCATTCCTATAGCTCCTGGAGGAACAATTCTGGACGATGGTGCAATACGTAGCCCATTTTCTGTTTTTGCGGCCGAAGATAATACGGAAAGCGTCAAAAAACATGTTGAAGTTTTCAATAAGTTGATCCGTCGTTACAAGTATTTACAAAGAAGTTTTGAGGATACAATCAAGAATATGCTTCAATATGTTAACAAATGGGGTTCCGAGGAAAATAATAAACTTGCCACTGCAATTGGCTTGTTTGCCGCTGCTCAATACGTAAATATTAACGTTTTGACAGTTTTGTTCAAGGAGCATCTGGTCAAAGAAGGTTTGTGAAATATTTTTTGAAGGGCAGGAATTGCTGAATTTTTAGAATTCAAAAATTTAAACTAAAATTATTGCATAACTTGATTTGATTAATTTCCAGGCCTCTCACTCCAATTTGTCACAACTGTGTTTAAAGCCTACTTGAACGAACAGACGATCGATCATTTGGGCAACTCTTTGAAAAAAGCGGGCATGGACAACAAACTCTTGGAGTTTTTCCCTCCGAATAAACGGGATGAAGAATATTTTGCTCGTTATTTCGAAGCTGAAGATATGAAACAACTTGTCGCATATCATAATCAGAAGCAGAAAAACACTAAGAAGGATCAAACCATCGCTCAAGTGAAAAAAATGCTTGACGCTGAGAGTACTCCTTCGGAGGTAATATAAATCATATGTATTGTCTATTATTCAAAATTTATGTTAGTGTAAAAATTATTTATGGTGTGTTTTGTATCTGGTTTAGGTTATCGCCTATCTCAAACAACAGCAAAAGGAAGGAGGATGGCAAGAAACGGATTTTTGTCAAATAGTCTGGGAATCTTTGATTCAAGCAGTTGATTGGGGAACTCGAACTGAACAGATTGAAACGCAAGCGTTGCGTCAAATCAAAGTATGTGCATTTTTCTTTTTCTTTTTTTTACAATCGTAAATTATTTTGACTATTAAAACCAAATATTTACTTTTTCATAGGCATGGTCAAAAGTCTTGGCGGCATTCTGTACCAGTCCGAAAACCGAGCTCGCACTTGTTCAAAAAGTTCAGGTTTACTGTTATGAAGATACAAAATTGATGAAACATTTTCGTCAAATCATTCAACTTTTGTATAACGAAGACGTTGTCTCTGAAAGCGCCGTCTTGTATTGGGCAGATAAAGGGGCTAAGAATCAAGGGAAAACTGTATTTCTTAAGCAGATGGAATCCTTCATCACTTGGTTAAAAACTACCGAAAGCGATGAAAGTGAAGACGAATAGTAATAGTAATAATCGGTTGATAAATAGGTTAATTCTTTTCGTAATTCTAATTATCATCTAGTCACGTATATATTTCTATCAAATTTTGGGTTTTTTTTATTATTAAAGTCTTAGATTAATAATTATCTTAGTCTAATGTCTTTTCGTCAAACATAATTTAATTAAAAAATCAAGTTAAATTTTGTGATTCAATTAACTCTAGACCAATTGATCTTTTTGTATGTTTATCTTTTAAATTAGAAAAGCAGAAATTAAAAGGCGAAATTGCAAAAAAGCATTCCTGCAAACATATTCATGCAATCTAAACTGATACTGGTAATTTTATTTATAATATGTAAATTAGGCTATGTACCAAACGAAAGGTAAAACTATTTTTCATTAACCAAAGACAAAAATCTCTGCTAAATGAGTGCTTTTGATTATAGTAACCGATCATTTAAACCTTTTAACTGGAGAAGTCCACAGAACTTATAGCATAATGCAGAACCCGAAGTTCACTCTCGCAGCTTTACGAACCAAAGAACCCATCGTCTGTCGGGTTAGAGTTGTAATGTCAACAGGCTCTGCAAATTTTCGAGTGGCGCGGTTATGTCTGTCTGATCAGCTCAAGTTAGAATCATTCTCCCGCACTTGCTTACTATGGCCTAGTAAAGCACAATTATATCTTGAAGTTTCTTGCACCATAGTATTAACTGCAAAACTAGAAAATATTGTGAGTATAACCCAAAGTAGGGTCCCCAGTGAGCTTGTAGGAAATAGCACCAAAGAACAATAGGAACCGAGTGACAGAGGTTCTGGACATACGAGTCTCTACTAGTGAACTTGTCCTTTTGCTCTTAGCTATCGCACGAAATTGAAAGTCACAATAAAGAAGCACTTTGCTGTACAGCGGCACTAGATTGAAGGCCAAAGTTAAGCTTCCTTAAAGAAGCAACTGACACAAAGGCAGCGTCCTGATAGAGGTCAGTTGGACCCAATAACTGTGTCGGATAACGTAATTCCTATTGCCAATTAATAACTAAACCGTCTTACCTTTGCAACAAGAGATCCAAAATCTTTACAAGAACAAGACGTGGGATGGGATCGAACCAGGTCGAAATGAAAGCATTTTGTCGAGTTTAATTGTTTTTAATATTTCTGTCAAACGTATAGACTTCGGTCGTATATAAGACAAATAATCTTTTATTTTTGGTGATGTCGCGAGGTTAATTTTATGAACAAATCCGAAACGCAGGACAAAAATATGCTAATAAAAAAGGCTTTAGACGCGCGTTTACTAAGTTCTGATTGGTTGACTGCACACCGGCCAATTTTAAACTGCAGACCTTCACCTGAATTATGATGTAATCATTTTTTAAATAATAAAACGTGATTATAAATTTTCACGTGAATTATGATGCAATCACTTTTGAAACCAATAAGATTTAATATCAATGTAGAACAAATTTCACTTGGACTAATATATTGACACTACTGTATTTCTTTGACATGTGTATCCTTTCGTGAGTTGTACTCTATAACAGTTTTGGCTATTAAATTTTGATTTATATAATCAATAATTATCTAATTTGAACCTAAAATTAAAATTTAGTGATTTAAAATACAAGAGATTTAAAGATGATTTTCATTTAATTATATAGACTTCGTAAAAAAAATTATAAATCATCATAAAAAAATATCAGAAAAAACAAATCTATTATTTTCAAACATTATCATCTCTAATTTCTTGATACTCTTCGTCATTAATATTATCCAAAATCAAAGCTTTAGAATTATTATTTTCATTTATTAAATTCTTATTCAATGTTTCATAATCAAAAACTAAATTATTCTCTGTTTCATCTATTTTTACTGAGATATTATAATATTTAAATACTTTTTTAATCAAGTAAGTGTTAATTTCTTCTTATAAATCTTTTATTTATTAAACTAAAGTGATATATGATGATTTTTAAATACGTTATTACGATTAGACTCTCAGTGAATATTATCGTAACTAAGGATGCTTGCCTAAATCCTTTCAGAAAAATATCGTCATAATTTTGACGGGTTACACACTAATTGTTAATT